GCGAGCATGAGGCGAAATTTAGTAAACTCGCGCAACATCTGCGTAAAGCTAACCGAAAATTGCAACCCGATAAGTGCGAATTTTTGCGTAGGAAAGTAATTTATCTGGGACATATTATTGGAGAAAACGGCGTAAAACCCGACCCAAAGAAATTGGAAGCAGTTAGGGATTTTCCGCGTCTGATTAATGCTAAATCTGTTCGACAATTTTGGGGTCTGGCAGGATTCTATAGAAGGGTTATCCCTGCCTTTTCTAAAGTTGCAAAACCTCTGTTCGATTTGTTAAAAAAAGATGCTTTATTTTGTTGGGAAATTACCCAAGAAAACGCGTTTTGCTCGCTCCGTGACGCCTTGTGCAAGAAACCAATACTACAGTTCCCGAATTTTGTCTTGCTATTTAATGTAACAACGGACGCTTTCGGTTATGCGATCGGCGCCGTCTTAAATCAGGGCCCTGTAGGGAAGGACCTACCCGTTTCTTACTGCTCGCGAATTTTAACCAAAGCAGAGAAAAACTACTCTACAATTGAGAGGGAACTTTTGACCATAGTCTACGCAACGAATTTTTTTAGGCCATATTTATACTGTAGATATTTCACTTTGATTACTGATCACAAGCCGTTAGTTTGGTTAAAATCAATAAAAGACCCTTTTTCAAGACTTTTTGAGGGGAGCCTAAATTTAGCAGACTATTCTTTCAAAATCATGTATAAAACTGGTACTGCCGATGCAAACGCGGATGTCCTTTCGCGATATCCGTCAAAGACGAAAGTCGTGCTCCCTGTGTATGCGGATGATTCGGGAGATAGCCCAATCCAATTCTATGCCAGACGCACAATGACAGACGACGGGGACGATGATCTCGACAGTACCTTTGATACAATTGCAACGATGACAGAAGACAAAGACTCAGACGTTGGGGAAAACGGTGACTTAACGGAATACGATGGCTTATTCTCCCCATACACGCCGACAAGAAATGATTCGAACTTGGGATTGTTAACGGGAAATTTAGTAGAAACTAGGGATTCCTTGAATTTGAGGCGTGATAATGTAGTTTTATTTATAGATTTAGACGGTGCACCCTGCGATAGGGGCGCCGAGCTCTTAGACCAAACAGGACAGCTTCCGAAAAAAAGGAATTTTGTGTTAGCTCGAGCAAAGGTGACGAACTTGAGAAAATATAAGCTGATATTAATTTCAATAAAAGAACATACCTTAAACTCCACGAAGGTGGAAACGGTAACAGAGGTTACTGTCACTCGAGAATTGAACCTTAAATCAGTAAGTATCGCTAGAACACCCTATATCGATGGTATACCATGGTCGCTTGTCTAAAACAACCTTAATAACACCTTTGAATCTGAACCTTGCAAAATTGTAATATATCAAAATGAAGTTTTAGTTCCAGAACCAGAAAAGCGGGAGGTCATTCTTGCAGAATGCCACTCCTCGGCTATCGGTGGACACAAAGGAATAACAAAAACGTATAATAGAATTAGACAAAAGTATCATTGACAAAACATAAAAAGTGACGTACAAAAATTTATTAGGAATTGTGAAAGTTGCCAATTAAAGAAACTAGTTAGAATAAAGTCCAAGGAACTAATGATACTAACCGATACGCCAGGGACGGCATTCGACAAAATTGCCATGGATATTGTGGGACCACTTCCAGCAACTAAACTGGGTAACAAATATATCCCTAATATTCAAGATGCCTTAACTAAATATTATATTGCAGTAGATCTTAAGTCGGCTACATCTGTTGATATTGCAGAAGCAATGGTTCACAAATTTTGTAACATATTCAGTGCGCCGCGCGCTATTCTGATTGATCAGGGAACAAATTTTATAAGCTCCTTATTAAGGGCAATTGCAAAACAATACCGATGTAAGCAAATTTAAACAACTGCGTTCCATCCTCAGTCGAATTGATCGCTTGAGCATTCACACATCGAACTGACCGAATATTTGAAACACTTCATTAATAAAAAAAGCGAATAGGATAAATGGCTCACGCATGCCATGTTCGCATACAATACAAGCACACATGAGGGAACTAAATTAACCCCTCACTAACTAATATTCAGGAAACAAGCTGTTATTCCTTCAGGAGAAACGCTTATGAATGTTGCTCTAGAAAATACATATGTAAAATACTATTTGGAATTGATTCGCAAAATCAGAACAGCTCAGGGGATAGCAAGACGGAACCTGGTGGGTGCAAAAATATAATCGAAATTTTATTACGATCGAAATGCTCGCGATCAAAAACTTGAAGTTAGAGATAACATTTATTTATTGAAACAGCCAACATCGAAATTAGGAGATCAATACGCTGGGCCCCACTAGATTCTAGAAGTTCTGCCTATAAATAACGTTAAAATTTGTTTCAAAAATAGAAGTAGAATTGTCCATCGGGACAAGTGGTAATTAGCTAAATATAGAAATAAGGATATTCTTCGTGAAACTGTGCCCTATATGTATATATATATATATATATATATATATATGTAAAGATAATATATTCTCTTTAAATTTGACGCGTTAAGTAGCTGAGTAGCTTAGATATATAAGACAAAGAGTAGTAATATTAGTGACTAGTTACCAAAGTTCGTTACAAAGAGATATACTTAGAAGAATAGAATAATACAAATATAATAATATAAGTGACCTCGAAAGAGCATTAGAAGTAACTGTCTTAAATTGTCGTTTTGTAATGTTTATATCTATCTATCAGGTTGGATAGTATRGAAATAACTCGAATAACGTGTTGCTCTGTAACAGATAGAAATATTACATATATATTCCAATTTGAAACTACTCATGCAAACGCAACCTCATTTTGCCACTACACATTTAACTAATACTGCAAAAGCACATGTATCAGCATTTGCATCTGCATCTTTTACTGCAACTGCTACTGCTCTTAAAATTATTCGTGTAAATGAACATGCAGCCATACTTGCCACTGCAAATGCAAACGCAGCTGAAACTGCAACTGCAACTGCAACTTCAACTGCAACAGCAAATGCAACTGCAACTAAAACTGCAACTGCTACTGCAACTACAACTGCAGCAGCACATGCAACTGAAACTGCACATGCAACTGCAACTGCAACTGAAACTGTAACAACAACTAAAACTGCACATGAAACTTCAAATCGACCTACAAGGGCATATCCATCAGAATTTGCAACTGCAACTGTAACTGCAACTGCAGCTGTATCTGCGAATGCTACTGCAACTA